TAGATCTTAACATATAAAATAGAACGCATGAAATCTGGTGGGTGGAGGGCTATAGAGGGGTATGGATGGGGGAGGTGGTCTAAATATGATTAAGATGCATGGAAAGATTATAATTTATATTTTACATTAAAACATTTGACCTCTTTTGAGATGAGTATTGAAATGCCTGTCGTTATTTAACTTAGACACACTAAGGCGGAAGATTGACCTGGAGATAGAGTGAATTATGTTTTACAAAAACTCCAAGATCACATACCTTTTCTAAATATTGCAGGCTAGAAGGTCTATGTTGTTATATAAGGGGGAGGCAAGAGTGCCTAGAACACAGAGCACATGAGGTTCTAGAAGGCAGTAGTCCTAAGGAACATCCTGGAGTAAATAAGGAAAGGGAGAATTTTATATGAATATAGCACTTTTAATTTTCATTCATACTAACTCATTTAAATATGTATTGTATCATTCTAAAAACATAATTTTAGAATTTTGATAGATTTTTCTCATAGGAAATGACCAAGAATCTTAAGAGATATCGCAGAGACGAAATGGGCGCACAGCTGATCTGTTCAGTAGGATCATCTACAGAATATAATCGCACTCAGTTCTTTACTCTTTTACACCAACTATGGGGCACAGATGTACACAACTAGGAATTTTTGTTTCTCTGTTTTGATTTAGGGTTACCCTGTAGCCTCAGCCGACCTGGAACTTGCTATGTAGACCAGGCTAGCTTCAATCTCACAGAGATCTGCCTGCCTCTTCACTCACCTCCTGAGTGCAGGGACTACAGGTGTGCACTACCATGCCTGTTGTACAACTAGGGATTTTTGACTAAATTTTCTGAGTAGTGACATAAATTATTTCTGTATTACATGGCTCATTTAGATTTTTTTAATAACTGAAGAGTTCCTGTAACAACATTTTATAGACCATAATCCATGTGTTATTACTGAAATCTGTATTGTCTTCCAACTGGAATGTTTGATCCTTAAGCGTGCTCAAAGCTTTCTGTCAAATAAATCCAGGAGACACTTGACATACAGAGGAAGTGAAGCATGGAGGCAGAAACAAGTCAGCCTCCATGGCACGAGTGTTTTCCTGCTAGGTGCAGCCATTTCAATGCCTTTTGCTTACTTTCAATTATAAGTTTAATTAGATTGCTCTCTAAAACTTTATATGCTTCTTTCTCTAGGGTATGAAAGGACCCACTGACATAATAAATGGCCTAACCTAAAAACATAGAAATGGTGTGACTGTCAGGTAGCTTCTGAGGTGTGGGACCAGAATCTGTTCACCTGGTTCCTCATGAGCGTGGGGACAATAGGGCTGTAGGGGTGCACATAACCTCCTTTGATATATTCCATGGTAATTTGGTTGACGTGGGCTCTCAGCAACCCATTTTATCTTGTTTATCTTAACCTTGTGGCCAAAGAGGCCAATGCTATGTAGGCATTTTAGTTGAGCAAAAGGCCTTCTATTTTTAGTAATAGTGTTTCACTGGATGAAAACCATACTGTTAATCCACAGGAGTTTATAGTGTTGGGGATATGCTTTAGAAAGGAATAGCTGGCCACCTTGTTTTAGCAATGAAAATATCAAGAAGTTTAAAAGTGCAGTTAAACCATTATAAGACACACACATGTTAACTTCTCTAAAATTGACATGTGTTCTATAAATTCAGAGCTGCTTTCAATGGCTGTTGTCTAGGCAGTAGTAATGATGACATTACTTATTATTCATGAAAATGATTACTATTGGACAGTTGGATGACCTTAGTGGTATTCCTGGGCAACTGCAGCTTCATGTTAATACAGCATTACCGCTTAGAGACCATTTGATAGAGCATAACTTATGATTATAGTCTAAAACCTTGTATTAATATCTTCTACAGAGATGTGGCAGCAGTGACAGTTATACAGTGGGCATCAATAGACTGGAAAAAAAATAGTTAATCATTAAGAAAAGCTGCAATATCCATGCCCACAATGGCATGAAAAGAAATAATGTTTGGGAAAATGTGCATACTGACTACTCTTGGTTAGGAATTGATTCAGAGTACCCGATCCTGACTCATTCATATTTCCTTTTCTCTACACTGTAAGACTGATGTGTGAAAAATATAAGTAAATGTAAAAGAGTTCCCTTAATCAGAACGAAATAAATTTTTTTAAATGTATTTATTTTTGTTTTTATTTATGTGTGTGTGTGTGTGTGTGTGTGTGTGCCACATGCAAGCAGGTGCCCACAGTGGCTAGAAGAGGGCATCAGATCCCTGGAGTTGGAGTTGCAAGCTCTGTGAGCTGCCCAGTATGGGTGCTGGGAATTAACCTGGGGTTCTCTGGAAGAGCAGGAGGTGCTCTAAACAGCTGAGCCATCTCTCCAGCCCCATTAAATAAAAATTCTGAACAAGGAAGCATGTAGTTTAACAGACTTTCCTTTCTTTGCACGGTGCTCTTTCTGTTTACTGTAGGGAAGTGAAGCAGAAGACCAGAGAACTCCATGGTGGTTGGAGGGAAGCAGCAGTTTGAGGTCAAACAGACCACTGGGCTGCCTCTTGGGGAGCAGAGAAACAACAAGCAGGGCCAGTCAGACAACTTTTATAGGTAGTTAGGTGGTTGGGTAACTTTCCATTACGTCCGCTGGGCAGTTTAGCTCTGGGCTGGTTGGTCTCCCAACAAGCAGAGGGACTTTCCTGGGGCCAAGTTCGAACCCACCATTTTAGAATGCTGGGAACTGCACTGCCATTTTAGGGACCTGCCAGGAACCTAACATTAACCAAGTATGAATTGAATCATTTCAGGTTTATGCTTAGTCTCTTAGCAGGTTTCCTACCAGTCATATTCGTTTTCTGTCTGAGACAAAAGTCAAAATATTACCATTTTGATGAAGAAATCTAATCTTTATTTCTATGATGTTAGCACAATATACTCACACAATAGCTTTGATCTGTACTTAACAAAATACATTTATAGCACTTTACAAACTTTATCAGTTTGGAAAAAACTCTGTTTATTCAATACTTGGTTTTATCAATAAAGCACAGCCCAACAAAGGAAGAGTGCTCTCATTAGCAAATAAGAGAAACAGAACACTAAGAAGAAATACCACCTGTTAGTCTGATTTGTTTTAAATTAAGGTACCAGTGGAATGTAAACAAATTTTTTTGTAATTTTTTTTTACAAAAGATGTGTTATCAAATATACATGCAGAGGTCTGAGTCCTAGAGTCTATTCATTATATTTCCTTAACAATGTGGTACAATTTGTTAAGTCATTAAAAACTGTAGCCTTTGGCACTTTGAGTAGAAAAAGAATATATCAATAGTATGTAAAGAAAAAAATTAAATGACTAGAGAAGTACTTTAAAATCTTAAAATCTTTTGTTAAGAAATAGGAAAGCTTAGGAAATATCATACTGCACCTCAAATACTGCCGCTTGTTTTTCTCCAGAATACTCAGACCAGTCCACCCTTCCCTCTAGAAACTGGCCAGGCCAGCAGAAGCATCATGATGATGGTGATGTAAGAAGTGGGGAAGGCAGCATTTGACTCCCACTTCCCTCTCTGAGAAGGAAATTGCCAGAAGGGATGGTTGAGTCTGTATTTTATTGCCAGAGTTTTCAATTCTGCTGGTTTCAGCTAAATTCCTAATGGACGCCTTGGAAGGTTGGTTTCACTGAAAAGCTCTGCCCCTTGAGTGCAGAAGCTGACGATGGTGTGATGCTCTTCCTTGATGGACACCTCGTTCTCGTTGAGAACCGCCCCAAGGTCAGATCAACCAGCTCTGCTGCTTCCTTTTTACCTCTTAGCAATCATCAAGTATACATTAGAATTATTAAGAGTTGGTATAAAAGATGCTTAATACTAAATTTCGAGAACCGAATTATTTCCTCATACTTTAAATATTTGGAAAACACTTCAAAATATTTTGATGTTATCTTGTTAATAGTTGCCTTTGTTTTAGGATCAAGGCTTTTAACTCAAGATCGGTAGCTCAAAATGCTGATTGCATGCTAAGCAGTCACTGTGCCTATTCAGATATTTTGAAGAAATACATTCTTAATTTATACTTTGTGGTACTATGATTTACCAATTTGCATTCTTTTTTCCAGATTCTTCCTGTTGTGTGTCCAATAAACAAAAATATTTTAAGGAGGGGCATCAAGCCAAACTGTTTGGCACTAATTTATTGGTAATCAGGATATCATGAAAAAATAATGCTCTGGAACAAAATGAAATTTTGGTATTACTTACTGAGATGTAACCTATGCCATCTGGCTGGAGACCTCTTGGACTTGACCAACATTTCTGGCAATGAAACCCACAATCGAAACTTTTGGCTCAGATTTCTTGCTAACAAATTCACAGCAGTGTATTTTGCACAAGGAATGTAAATAGTTATTTTTGCTTTTAAAATAGATGAATATATGTATAAGCTCAAAAACTCAATAAATTAAGAAGTCATAAAATGAAACATATACTCACAATAATTTCAAGAGTCTTTAAAACAATGTTTTTAAAGTATGCAAATTTACTCACTAACATTGTCAGAAATGAGCATTATCAGTAACTTAAAAATTATAAAGCAAAATAAAGATGCAGAAAAGATCTCGTCATTCCCTTTCACTGAAAATATTCCCACACAGTTGCTGATGTTGAAGAGAGCATAAATTCAAAGAAATGCACATATACTTGTTCATTTTTCTCCACTGTGAGAGAGCCACTATGGGGAAGCTGCGGGTGCCCTACTCTAACACAAAGTAGCCAGCCTCTTCTCAATAAGGTAGCATTTCTTTGACAAGGGGTTGCACGCCACTATGTCACAGCTAAATAGTTTGAGAATTTACATGGTCTATGCACTATAATAATCAGCACCACCCACACTGAGCTTCTGGTGCAGATTCTGAAAAAATGAGTAATATATAATACTGCATGGCCTCTGCTGGAGGGAAAACCTGTGTGTTCTGGGTTCCCTAAACAGAAAGATAAAAAAAAAAAAAAAAAAAAAAAAAAAAAAGAAAAGATCCCCAAAGTTGGCACATTCAGAAAGTTAAATAGCATACATGGAAGGAAACCGCTTTGTTTTAACACTGTCCTCTTCGAAACCTCAGTGACAGGTCGTAAGGACACTGTTGAGATTAGGAGACAAGTTCGGCTCTTTCCTTGTGCTTTTCCTTCTCCTTGGTGTAAAATCTTTAGGTTTAGCGTTGTAGCTCAGTGACAGAGTTCCAGGCTGATGGTAAACAATCTAGTTGGGCAAGAAGGCTTTCCAAATCCTCCAGAAAAAGGGGTGGGGACACAGGTAGAATCAGCGTGTTGTCTTTGGGGGACACCCAAATGATTGATTGGAGGGCCATCATCCCTCAGTCCTTATAAGCCCGAGTGGGGGAGGTTCCTTTGTAGAAGATATTTCTGGTGTTTTCAGGGCTGTTGCTTCTTTCGGGGATCAGGATGATGTTGCCCTTCCTCCGCAGGGTGGAGTCGCGTGAGGAGGACACAGACAGCGTCTCCGACCCTATCTCGCTGCCCTCCACTGGGGTCACGCGGATGGTGGTGATACCATGATGGTGGTGCTCGTTGGTATCGATGTTGCTTCTCTTGCGATCTCCAGAACCAAAGCTGTCTTTGAGGGACTCGCAGCTTTCCGAGTCCCTGTTGAGGTCGTTGAGCTCATAGGTTTGGCGGAGGCTGCCCTTCTCTGGAGCTTTCCACTTCCAGGAGCCGCTGCCTTCACCCTCCGTGGATGGGATCTGGATGATGGGCCTGTTGTTCTCAGGGTGGGCCTCCACCCGCACGATGCCGCTGGGCTCGTGGTCCGTCAGGGTTTTGTAGCGGATGGAGCCGGTGCAGGTGACCGTGCTGCCCTCGGCATTCTTGGGGCTGCTCTGTAGCACGCCCTGCTGCTTGGACATGGCGATGACCTGCATGATACGAGGCTGGCTGTTGCCACGGTTACAGGCCACAGTCTTCTCTGCAGCTTTCAGCCACTTGGCCCGTGCAGAGCTGCTCTTGGGCGACGTGCTTATGTTTTCCTGGGTCTCCTCTGGGATGTGCACCAGCTGGGAGGAGCCGGGGCGGGACTGGATGGACACGCGTGGCCCTCCGGGCATGCTGTTGTTACACCCAGGGACGGTGCCAGGCTGGATCTTGAGGTACTGATTCCCTGGGCCGTGGTGGTCGCCGTTCACCCCGACTCTTGACGGCTCTGAGCTGGACCTCATTTCTATGGACCGAGGGGGTGACTGTCCTTCGGGCTCAGTATCCATGACCTGTAGGGACATCTTGCGGCTTTCATTCTTACTCTTCCACTGGGTGAGAAGCTGCTTGGACCGGGCAGAATCCATGGAGGCATGGATACTCGTGTTTCTTCTCACCGGATCTTCCACGGATGGGGTATTGGCTCTGGGCAGGGTGTTGCTGAAGGTCACCATACTCTCCTTTCCCATGGGGCTCCTCGGAGTGATGATTTCTACATCAGCGTTGGCTCTCTTGAGGTTTGTTAAGGAGCTGGCATCCCTGTGGTTGCGGTTGAGGATGCCCTCTGTGTGAGCAATTCCGTCGCTGCTGCTGCCATTCTTAGCAGATAAAACCCTGTTGGGGTCTTGATTGAGGTCTGTCAGAGACCTGAGGGCTTCTCTGTGCTGAAGCACACTCTCTTCACTAGGTAGAAAATTCCCCACAGCATACAGGCCCTAGTGTATTCAAGGGGAAAGAGTGAGCATCATACACCAGAAGATACAATTACAATATTTTCCTTGGAGTTCCATTGACTTACACCACTAAGGAAGGCACTCCGCGTATCCATCCACCAAGAACAATAACAATGAAAGGACGATAACTCAGGGGGAATAACTTGTGACCTATGTCATAGATCACTGAACTAGTTGCTTGAAAATAGGAACAATGCTTTCTATGCTACCAGATGCTTTTGCCACACACCCTATGCTTTTCTTGAGAAGAAAAGACAGACAATGAGATAAATAAGGACATTTTTCTGCCTTTCAAAGCTATTCATTCTTTTGGACTTAGGAGCTTCTTGCTGAATGACACCTGAAACAGCTTAAATGATTTGCTTTCCCTTCCCTTCTCAATCATTCCTTCTGAGAGAAAGCAGGGGAGCTTCAGGAGACACAGAAGGAGGGATCCTTCATAAATCACTGGGCTCTGGAAATGCAGGCAGAGGCAGATGCTGTTACAAGGGGCCCTGAAAGGAGCCCTGCCTGCTCAGAAGGGCACAGGGTGTTTGGGTGGTCTCTGTAGCCAGGGCAGAGAATGTTACCAGACTCCAGCACCCATATTCTTTCCTGCTTCAAGCTTGACCTTCGATTGGGAAATTAGGATTATTTGTTGCCTTATACTAAATATGGGCCAAATTTTATTTCATTGTCTTCTTACACAGTTCATCAATTTTTGCTTGTTTTAGATTTAGAAAAGACTAAAGTTCAGGCTCAAAATTGTTCCCCTTTTTACCTACAGGAGATCTAATACCTATTGGGTTATCAGAGACCTACTTGTGAACTGATTTTAACTGACAGTAGCTGGGTTTACTTTTCAAGTCTACGAAATGGAATTTCATGGATTTAGTATTTTATGTGCTCAACAGTGAACAGAAGCATGGGTTTAGAAACAGTAAGTCTGCGGTTTTAGAGCACGGGGTACAAAAAGGAATAGAATAAAATCAAGCTCCCCCTCCATTTATTTATTTATTTTGGTATTTTTGAGATGGGATCCCACTCTATAGCCCTAGCTGGCCTGGAACTTGCTATATAGATCAGGTTGGCCTTGAACTTGCAGCTTTCCTTCTGGCCTCTGCCCCTCCAGTGCTGGGATTTCAATGTGCCACCACACCTGGATTGATTTTGTGTTTTTGAAGCATAGTTTCACCATGTGGCCTAGGTTGGCCTTAATCTTGCATTTCTCCTGTTTTGTCCTCCTAAGATTCCGGGGTCATCAGTAGCCCTGGCTACTTTAGCTTCTAGTTAATGTTTGTGGTACTGAGGATCTAGTCAAAGGCTTGTGCACACTGCCACTGAGCTACATCCCTAACTCATTATCTTCATTCCATAGGTAAAGAATTAGGTTTCTGAGAGGATAAGGAACTTAACTGAATAGAAGGGAGAGTTGATGTACTCACATCCTTTGGTTGTAAAGCCCATGTGGATTACAGGGTACTATGATTTCATAAGAGGGAAAGAAGATGTGTGAACCGAAAAATGGCAGGTCTTAGCCTTTTTATGTCTTCTACAGCACCTACTCATTGCCAGGCAGCACCCCCATGACCACTCGGACTTATGCACCATTTTTTTCCCACTGACATTAATGTGATTCCTTCACTTTAAAGAAAGCACATAAAAGAATAAAATTTAAAGTTGAAGTGTTGACTCTGCTAGTTCATAAAGAGGAAATCATTGCACACTTCATTACTTTTACTGTCTTTTTTTCTTTTTTTAGTAATCATTTTCTTATAATTCCATCTTAAGAGTACCAAGATCTTGTGATTAAAAACTTATGCTATGAACAACTGACTCATTTCTGTCAGTCCTTCTCAGCCTGCATATTAATTATCCCTAGCTCTTTTATTCCTATAACCTGGTAATACTCCAGATAACTGCAATGATACCTCTACTAGTAATGTCCATGATTTCCAAATCTACCAAGTACTGATTGCTGTTTTGTCCTCTAGACACAACCATTCGGTTGCCTATTGATTCAACGTGAACTCCTCAACTGTCTTTCTCCTCAGCAACCCATTACCTTGTTTATGTATCTTATCTGATAACAAAGTTACTGCAAATCCAGCCGTGCAAGCTACAAATCTGGCCATCATCTCCCATTCCCCCTGTTCCCTTACTGTCCAATTGCTTGTTCCCATGTCCATCTCATTTCATGTATGACTTTTTCCCCCTTGAATGCCCTTTCTGCTTTTGTTACACCAAGAAACTATTTTTTTAAACCACATCTCTTCTAGGAAGGTTTCCCCATGTTTCTTAGCTTGCTCTTCCCAATGCACTGCATTCCTATCATAATTACGTCTTAAGCATGTTGTAACCATTTATACTTATGCTAGTCTTTGCTCTATAAATTTATGAAGGGTGCAGCTTGTTTTTCATTGTTCTGTGGTTCATTATATTGACAATGAGTAAATAATGAATAAATGCAAAATAAATGAAAGAATGCACAATGACCAAACAGACAATGTTGGTTTCCTTATAAGGCAGGTTCTTGAAGATATCTATCAAATTTGAGAGAAACATATTGATAAAAAATTTACTTTTAAATGAAACAAAGGTGCATTTAGGTAGGTTCCACATTTGTATTATTGGGAAAATTATGTAACTTTTCACTAAACCTCTGCTGATTCTATTCTCACTTTTCTCGTCTTTAAAATAACACTCCCAATAATCTGTATAGTATTTCTCTGTGTATGTACTTTCTGTAAGGATGAAATATAATAATTCTCCTAAAATCAATTTCTGGCACATAGTAAGAGCTCATTAAGTTATTTTATTGAAAGTGGGATTGGTTTGACTTAGAATGGATACACATCAAAAGATGAACATAAAATATATTGCACGTAAATTATCGTACAAAATTCTATGCATGTTTTTCCATTTTAAACTGGAGTTCACTAAATGATGGTGATGTTGATGATGATAATGATGATGACAATAATAATAATAATAATGTTATTTACCAAATACAGCGCAATTCCTCCTCCTATTAAAAAGCCACAATAGACATCAACTGGATGGTTCTTATACTGAGTTATCCGTGTCAGGCCGCAGATGATTCCACAGATGATAAATGTGAAGACCAAGAGAGGCTTCAGGAGCTTAGAGGAGTCAGTTAATGTGGAATTGAAGTACATCTTAAAAATGAAAGAAATGGGTTAAGTATGCTAGAGAGCCATTGTGTTAGAAAATACTAATCAAATAAAGAGTTCACTCAGAAATCTGATTGGGGGCTGGATAGATGCCTCAGCAATTAAGAGCACTGGCTACTCTTAAAAGGACATGGGTTCAGTTCCCAGCACTCACATGGCAGCTAGCAAGTGTGCATATCTCCAGTTCCGGGAGATCTGTTGCGATCTTCCGGAATTCATGGCATTGAATGCATATGGTGCACTTACATACATGTAGGCAAAACACTCACACACAAAAATAAAAATAAATAAATAAAAAGTTTTAACTGACTACTGTACTTGACATTAACTTTACCTATCCCCTTTGCTATGGCTGAGTTATCTACCTACCAGGAAGGGAAATTTATGACAAAATTAATCAGATAAATAGTAGAGCTCTCACTGGATTGCACCACACTTTGAAACATATTAAAGCAGTAGATTTAGATAGAAAATTCTCGTCTCCATTTCACTCATTACAAAAGACTTCACAGGCTATGAATCAAATACATGAATATATGAAATATATGAATCACAGGTATGAATCAAATACAGCAACTCTTCATTGTACAACATTTAACAAATTGATACTAACCTAGAACTCCCCATTCTTTCATAAATACTGAAAGTTGTATGCCTGTATGTGCATGTTGTGTACTTAATGAAAGTCCTTTGATTATACTCTTTGTTACATTCATGTATTTCACAAATATCCTTCCACAAAGTATTGCATTAAAAAGGCACAAAAGTTAATAAATAGTTCAACTTTATGTAGAAAAATTATTTGATTGTAGCTTTTTAAAAATAGGATTTTTGCTTTTGATACCATTGTATTAAAGGGAGGTTGAACTAAAGTATAACCTAAATAGTTACTTGAAAACAACATTCGTTCCTCTGATTTTCATTTTGTGAAGACTTTAATTTTTCTTATAATTCATTATTTTTATGTTATGAGTGTATTGCTTACATGTATGTAAGTGCTCCCATGTCATCAGATCCCCTGGAACTGGAGTTACAGATGGTTGTTAGCCACCATGTGGGTGCTGGGAATTGAATCTGGGTCCTCTACAAGAGCAACCAGTGCTCTTAACCGCTGAGCTCTCTCTCCAGTCCCCAAGGCTTTGTATTTTTAATTATATTTATTTAGGCACTTATGTGTGGGTATGTGCATGTGACTGCAGATGCCTGAAGAGATCAAAGGTGTTGGATACCCTAGGAGCTGGAGTTATAGGGAGCTGTGAGCCACCCAATATGAGTGATGTGATCTGAACTTGGGTCCTCTGGAAGAGCAGCGTGTGCTCTTAACCACCAAGCTCTCTCTCTAGCCCCTCATCCTTCTGTTTTTCCATAAGCTACCACTTAACGACAAGGATCCAGTTACTTACCGAAACATATACAGCAGCAAAGGCAGCAAGAGTCGCATGTTGGGATGGGAATGACTTTCTGCCAAAGGAAGACAGTCAAGTTATGTCCTTTTTTTCAAATACACTGCCAGCAATCAACTTAGAGATGCTGGGTAAGGTGTTCAACTTAAAGCCAAAAGCAATAATCAATAACCTTAACTTACTTTTAGTTTGCTGAGAAAATCAGCAGAATTGTTTATTAACAAAAAAGCATTGCTAATCACCATTAGTGTTACAGAACAGTAGTGATGCACTTTTCAGTAAAATTAAATAAATACATTAAAATAAATTGAAATAAGTAAAAATAGGTGTTAGTTTGGCAAGGGAATGCTTGGAATGATTTTTGAAAATAGAAATGAGTTGGAAGACATAATATCCTTTGGTATTAGAATTACATCAGCTCAAAGTAAAGTTTATAAAACATAGGACTTTGAAGTTTTAAAACTTTTCCTATGCTCTAAGACAGTTTTGCTTATATAAAAATGTTAAGTAATGAAATTATTTTCTCACAGCAGTAGATCTAATTGTATTTTTATTCACTAGAAACTATAAGGAAAGTCTAACCTTAACAAACTGTTTCTCTGCACTGAAAATGATTTTCATCTAAATTCTTTTAAAAACTATTTAGTTTTATGTGTATGAATATTTTACCTGAATGTATATATGTATACCATATGTGTTCAGTGCCCACAGAGGATGTTGGAACCCCTGTACTGGACTAACAGATGGTTGTGAGATACCATGCGGGATCTGAGAAGTGAGCATGAGCTCTTTGCAAGAGTAGCAAGTGCTCTTAATTACTGAGCCATCTCCCCAGCCCTCAGAACATTTTCTTGAGTTAAAAAATTTAGGCAGCAAAGTTTGGATGCATCACAGCACAGGGGAAGGTACACTGAGAAAAAAACACAAGAGAGAAGAATATAGAGTTCTTGGATAGAATAAAAATGTGGAAAAATGAGATTCATTTACATCAGTGTTTTTCTAATTATTTGGTACTCACTGATATGAAAATGTAATAATACTGAGAAAAAGCACAAGACACGGGTCTTCAATGTGGGTTCAAAATTACTGAAATGATTCAAGAGAATTTGAATATGTGTAATCCCCTAGTATCAGTTCTGATTCTTCAAGTGACTTAGCAACTTATTTTTTATTCTTCAATGCATCTTTGAGAACTCATTGAATGCAAACCCAAATGTTTATAATAATTATTTAATGCCTTATATATCTCTCTACTTATTTCCTTTGAGCTTCTTGAGTATTTCTCTTGTTTTAAAATTTTGGTTTTACTTTGCTGATTGATATAAATCAATGCATTAGTAGTTTCTCAGCTTTTCTAGTTTCTAATTTTCTGAAATGGAAAGCCAGGAGCTGTTTAGATCTTCTAGATTTATCCAAAGAAAATAGCTGCTACCTCAGATATTACTCTTTTTCAAACTTGAGCAAAGGCGAAGTTCATATTTTTTTGGTAAATGAAATAATAGAGCTATAATATAGATTTCCAGTCTTCCACCTAAGTGAGTTCAATACACATATTGACTGTAAGCCATAACGGACTATTAATATCTTAAACAAATTGTGGTAACCTAAAACCAAAACAAGTATATCACAGAACTGAGTGGAGTTCAGCAATAGAAGAACTAATAACAGGACTGTGGAACTGATGTTTGGAGACCAAGGGAAGGATTTGGAATGAGTTGCCAATGAATCTCTGTGTTATAGTCACCGAAGAGATGGTTATATTGAAAATAAAAATAAAATAGAAATGGTTATGACTGGAAAAGACATGGTTAGATGGTGCCCCCAGCAGTGACTGCATGCTAACATACTGGCATGAGATGTTTTTCAGAGTTCAATTTCTAACCTGCCACTGTTGATAACTGTAAGGTCAGATCCTGAGCAAATATCTTCCACAATGTAGGAATTTTCTTTGCAAGATACATTCAGAGAGGTATAGTTTGGCTTGCACACAGTCAGAAAGTATGGTGCCTGATACCCTGTGGACAGCTGTATGATATCGGTAATGAGAGCTGTAGAGCACAGTCCAAAGACATGAACACCTGCAAACAAAATAGAAAACATTGTTGCCAAGTTGGTGGTTAATGCTGAAGTTATATCAGCATCAACCAAGTTTATCACACATGAATATGTTCACCTTATAATGTGTTTTGTATATATATATATTTAATATATTATATATTATGTGCTTACAAGTTATATATAATAATGTATATACAAATCTATGTGTAATATGTTATATATACTGGGCTTACAATAATCTTTATTCGGTTGATTTTGAGAGGATAGTTGAGAACTTTTCTAAACTTCTAAGTAGATACGCAAAGCTAAGAGGAACACATGATGAGTATTTCCAACTAGGAAGTGTACTTTAGCAGGCTGCCAGACCCACTGAGTTTAAGCAGAGTTGATTATGTGACCATAGATTTAGAAATGTCCATTGGAGCAAGGTGGCTTTACCAGTGGCCATGCAACTAAAGACAATGACTGTCCCTCCCCCAGAATTCATCAGTAACTAATAGCTCAGTAATATGGGAAAGGAACTTGAAGGGAACACTTGGCAGGGATGGGTGGAAAGCGGATTAGAGACGATGTGGAGGTGTAAGTAATCAGAATGCATTACCTATGCATCAAATTGTCAAACAATAGATTTAATAAAAGCTATTTAAATTTTTAATAAAATATAAATAACAAAAAATTTAAAAAACAATAATTTTAATGTCTGGACACTTCTGAGTTATTAGGTCCCTCCATTGTCCGTGGTTTATAGCGCTAGGCACCAAGCCCTACAGAGTCCATTCTCAATACCTACAAACCACATGGTCATGCTAAGAATACTAATTAAATGAAGAGGTCATATAGGCTTTGCCATAGAAATTACAAACAGCCATAGCCTGGGTAGCTGTGGGAGCTTGCCTTATTTACAAATGATGAAGTCACTTGCTTGGATGCATCCTTGAGTTGTTCACTGCTAAGATATAGATGTTCTGGATTTTACTCCTTCCAGGCTGTCTGGACTCCCTGAGTTCATTCTGACTTGATCTCCTGGATTCTGATTCAAGAGCTGCTCACAGACATCATTATGAGAGGCCCCAGGAAAATCCATCCCTTGTCACCTCCAGACCAAGGATGCTGGTTGACACATACCCTTGCTTTTCATTTTTCTTCTTTAATGAATGCCATCTACTTACCACAGTCCCAGTTCCTTCTCCAGTGACACAACAGGGATTCATGACACAGAAACTTGATTTCTATACTCTAATTCCTAGAAACATGCACAGGATAGGGTCCATTATTGATGCCATTTTCCATAGGTCACTTGTGGGACACAGGGAGCAGGCTAAGATGTGACCTGAAGTTTGAATAGGGTAGGTAAAGACTTTGAATGAGAAGGGAATTCACTCATTTTACTTTGGAAAATGAGACTCTCTAGGCCCATGGAGGATTGGTTTGCTGATGATATTTCATAGTGCGTATAGTCTCTTTGCCATCGCATTTTGCTATGTTCTAGAATGTTCTCTCTGAGGTCAGATACATGCCTTGGAGTTTTATTCCCTTGCCTCAGACGGTGCCAAAGGGATTACTACTGTTTTGTTAGCTTCTCAATATGATGGTAGGAAGACAATTTGGAAAAGCAGAGTGTGGGGAGTGATTCAGAACAGATACTTCCTCTCACCAGAGAGAAAGTTTCCTTTAATTATTCAGGAGATATTACATGAAGCTACCTTAATAAATACAAAACATTCAGATTGGTATCTCATATTGTGGATGTCCACTTAAATCTATTAAAAAAATAAAAAGATGCCTATGACTCAAACTACATTAAGATGGTCCTGATCTAATTAAAAGTCACAAATATTTAGAAACTGCTATGATTCAGATACTGCTTAGCTAGGACCGTAGATCTATTATAGGTTTCATTAAAAATGGGGAGGGGGTAAAGTTAGAGACTAGCCAAAAACAAGCAACAGTCTATGGTGACATTTCCTGCTCAAGAAATTTCTGGATGAAAACACTCTGAGAAATAGACTCACTGATGTCAATAATTTCTGAAGAGTTACTGATTCATGCTGGCCTGCTGACATTCATTCTCCATTTAAGAAACAAAATGGGTCATGGTGCTAGCACTTGGGAAGCAGAGGCAAGAGGATCAGAACAAGAGCTCAAACATGCTACATGGCAAGTGTGTGTCCAGCCAAGACTAATGGAGACTCTGCTTCTAACACCCTAAACACACACTCAGGAAAACCTTTTTAAAATCACTTCACGCTTAAACCAGAACTTGACACAATACACTGAAATTTGTGGTGTGCTAGCTCACCAAACAAGGGACATGACTCTAAATAACACATTTTAGATACAAAGTCTAAATTTTCATGTTTTATAGCTTTCTTGCATGATGTAAAACCCATCACATGTTGAATTTATACAACTAAATTACACCATTAGAGATTTAATATCTGTAATTAAATGTAACATTTCTGTGTGAAAAACATTTCCTTTCGTTATGGTTTCTCACACCCACCAACAAATCTGACGGCTCTTCGGAGAAAGGAGTTAAAGTTGCAGCCTCCAGCGTTAATGTTGGGCTCTAATCCAGCTCCATTTTTCCTCTTGGATAGGCAGCAGTACAGAATTCCTTCCCCTACCATGATCTACAAAGACAAAAATCATATCAGGGAAGAGTGTTGGTATAGCTGCTAGACTAACAAATATAATCGAATTATGCATCATGTCTTCAGACATCAACTCTACAAAGCGAAGATATATTTTTCTCAAAAGCTTTAAGTATAAGTGATTTCTTCAGGGAATTTAACAAGAAGTGAGAAAGGAGCATTTGGGGCCCTGTTAGGAGCACTGACTAGATCTCATCTGCTCCTCTGCACTATTCAAGGGTATGAGGACATCACTGTCTTTGACAGTTTCTACCTTTAGTCTTTTGCCCTTTACACCCAGTGGCACTCAGTTACACAGTGACTGTGTCCTTACTCTTTGAGAGTCTTGACATTTGATCCTAAGATGCCTGAAGAGAATCAAGTAAGTACAAAGTTGGCATCAGGACCATTTGACTAACAGATTAAGTCCATAAACCAATTTGGAATTTAGTTGCAGGATCAATATGTGGAAAACTTGTCTAAATATAGAAAGATACCATTGAGCATAGCCGTCCCCTAAAAAATTTGACAAGGATGAAACTATGTTTTGTATTGATTGCTACTCATGTGTAACTGTCTAGCATTTGAAATAGAGGTACTGCAAATGAGGTAGATATTTAGTTTTACTTAAGTATTATGTTATTTTTACGAAAATCTAAATAAACTCAATCTTGAAAAATGTGTGGCCAGTGACTATCTTACTGGGTAATACTGATGACAAGAGAATCTAGATATTTCTTAGGGATAAGACATTCAGAATACAAGTTCACAGAGGATGAAGAGCCATATTGAGGTATCAGGACTATCTAAGAACAGTGAGCTCTGCTGTAGGATTTTAGGGATATGAGATCAGTGAAGGAATTCAATGTTATTTAAATATCTTTTCCTTCAAGAATTTTTTGTGTGAGCTTGGTCCTAGTTTTACTTCCTGTTGTGGTACAATATGCTGTCAAAAGCTATTTTAAAAGAGAAAGGGTTTATTTGTCTTACAACTCCAGGTTATCACTCATCACTGCAGGGAAGTCAAGGCAGGAGCTTGAAGCAGTTGGTCACACCCACAATTAAGAGAAATAAACACTCATAAGCTTGTTAGCATGCACTGCTCTCTCTACACCTATGAGGTCTAGGATCTCCTGCCTGGGAATGGTGCTTCCCACAGTGGGTTGGGTCTTCCCACATCACTTAACATAATTAAGACAATCCCTAACAAATGTACCCACAGGCCAGTCTGATCTAGATGATCCGTCACTGAGACCCTCTTCCCAGGTAATTCTAGATTATGTCAAGTTGCCAATTAAAACTATTACTGTTGGGAGCCGTCTCAGCATATTGGGAGACTGAGTCTTAGCCACTTCTTCACAACTGCTGACAGGCCTCAGCTGGCTATTTTCCATTCTGCCCGCAGCCTTGGCCCAAAAACTTTGGCAGGCAAGCAGAGCCCACAACCTTGGCTCATAGCTGGGGCTGGTAGCCCACGGCCTTGCTCTAGTTATTGTAAATAGCCCTGTTTTCTGTTGATCAGTAGACTCTCGCAGGCACGGGATGGAGCCCGCGGCCTTCACCTGCGGTCTTGTTTTCTTTTCCAGTAACCGCCTTGCTCTCAGTGGAGTCCTCCCTTGGAGTGCACCTGGGACTTTGCTATCTGGCTGATATGATTCAGTCCAGTCTGTACTTCTTTGTTCTTATTCCTTATTTAACTGTATGCTTGTGCTTCAATAAACGAGACTTGATCAGAGCACTGTCTTGTCTCCATTTCTCTTGCCCCTTGCCTCATCCACAACCCCACTCCCCAATCCAGGTACCCTGTTGCAGACCCCACAGGCTGGGGCATATTACAAGCATTGTTACTATACCACAACATAAATTACATCATCTTCTATATAGTTCCCTTAGTGCCCATCTTTCTCCCTTTGAAGTTTTATTTAAGAGTGTGTCACTCATTTATATTGACCGTCTTTCATTAGACGAGGGTTGTCCAAGGGAAGAACCATTTCTTAGTACTATTTTATCCCCATTTCTAGAATGGTACCTGGAATTACGGGGTTTGTATTTATGATTTTTACTGTGGGACTCATGTTTGTTAACTTCTCTGCACATTTGAGTTGCTATTTATTCTGTATACTAAACGTAAGATTTGAAATCATGAGTTTTATTTGATCCCAAAACCTTTTCAAATATTTGATTATTGTGCCCAAGAAATTGTTGTGCAATTAGATAACATTTGTATGAATGTGTGGAGTTGAGGCTAGTAGGGTGTCAAGAAACTAACAGTGCTCAAATACAAGAGAGTGTGTCACTAAAATGATTATAATCATATGTATGGTTGAACTGTGGTTAGGATAAGATTTTTCTGGGGGAAGCTTCTAAGTTCCCATTACTAGCTTAGCATTTATTTTACAATGTGGTTAAAATTATAGGGCCCTTAGCTATATTTAGTTCTGCAGACAATGTAAAGTTTGTATAAAAGTTTTAAGGAATGTTGCAATAACCACACATGTGAAAATCATGTGATATGATGACTCCTTCAAGGTCAATCACTACAGAAATGATAAAAAGCAAGTTATTTTCATATCACTGAATACCGAATTAATCATTTCTACTTTTTGACTGTCTTCCTACATTAATACATCAAATGAGACATGGAAATGCTTCAGGTTCTGGGCTCTGTGTAGACAGACATGATACAGTATAGCTTTTGCACAGAATAATATAATTTAAATTCATCATTTAAAAAAGTTAACTACCCATTCCTGAAAGACATGAATGTATTGGTAATGAGACCAAGCATACCTTCACTTCTTTAATAATATTTCCACGAATAGTTCTGTTTTATTTTTTTTAATTATACAATGCAATGATTCACACCTTGTTCATGAATGCTAAATTATATAACAACATATTGGAGAGTTCCATTAGGGAAATGTGTCTTACATAACACAATAGCTGCTCTCTCAAATGGCTAAGGTTTCAGGAATTTTATCTGAGATGATTTTATATGTGTAAAAGTCCCATGTCAAGAGGGACTGTCTACATTATTGACTTGATTATGAAATATGGGTAAAAATAGAGATATCAGTATTAATATCATCAATGGTCCTCATCAAGAAACACATTATCTATTCATTCTTCTAGACACTTGACCTTCAACTATATCTCAATGCACAAATTTTCAAAATGATTTAGTGTAGTTTAAGGATAATTTTCAGGATAAAGGAAATAGTTCCTAATGTATTTCCAAGGCATCTGCTTGTCTCTCCCTTTTGAATGCCTTACTTACTCACTTGATGTAAGAACACTATGTGGTTTAGGTCAATAAAATTGCTCTTGTTCTTGTTATTTGTACAGAGAACACAATTTATGCCAAGCATTTTTCCAGAATTCTTTTTTGTATTGTACCTACACCTAAAAAGAAACCACACTTTTTTATGTGGGGGAGAGAGAGAGAGAGAGGGAGAGAGAGGGAGAGAAGAAGAGAGAGAGACAGAGACACAGAGAGAGAGGGAGAGAGAGAGAGGGGGCGGGGCTCTGGTTGGGTTTGACAAGGAGAGTCTGTAATAACTCTGCTCTAGGGGCGATGCTGAGAGGAACACTTTGGCTCATGTTATAAGGGTCTTTCCCTTGTAATAGTCACCATAGAAAGAACTCATGATCCAAACCTTTTTCCTTGTTAATAATAACAGCAGCAGCAGCATAAAACATTGTAATACTTCTCACAGTGACTTCAATGTTTAAATTTCCAGTATATTCTAGAAACACTAACATGTTGAATATTCAACATGTTGGTTGCATAGTCTCCTAAAGCTGAAGTTAGTGTCTAGCAATTGCAACCAAATTTTGATAGAATTCTTTCATAAGGTTCGATGAATTCATCCTTAAATAAGATGCAATAGATTTGTAGCTTCAGGAAGAAAACATTTACATTTTTTCCCATAGCCATATATACATTTCACAAAGATTTGTGATAAGCCCAGACACTCTCTGTTGTTCTCTGAGAGAAATCTCCACAGGGCCTGAAAAAAATGATTGTTTTATCATTACTCTAAAATAAGTGAAAATTGAATGCCAATGGTGAATTTTTCTGACAAGGTCAATTTCAGAGAAATAAGAATATACATATCACAAACACACAAAAAACCATTTTTATAGTCTGATGTTGCCACCTGGAAAACAAGTTAATGTGAAGATCTCAAAGAATAAAAGAAATCTGAGAAGCAAACACTAAATGACACATAAATGCCCGTATAAAAGCCAGCTGATCTGCCTTTTGTGCATATGAAGATCTTTTCAAGGAATGTTGCAGATACGAGGGCTTTTTGTTTTGCTTTGTCTTTTCTCTATGTACATTAGTGAAATGGAAAGCCCCTCTCCTTATACCTGCTCTAAAATCCATGCCAAGGGAAGGGCGTCTCCTGCCTTCCTACTTCCTAGAATGTTCCTATTTTTAGAATAAATTTTTTCAGCCATAAGGATGAGAGAAAAACAGCATCACTGAAGGTCAGAGATTAGAATCTACTTGTGATTTTCACTTTTAGAAAGGGGAAGGCCAGAGGAGTAATATATGGAAGTGATTTATATAGTAAGATTACAGACAGAATTATGGTTGTAGAACAAGATAGCTACACATATCATAGAATCATGTTGAGAATGATGTATGTGTGTGGGGAAGGACTGAAAAACAGAGTGTAAAATGAACTTATAACAAAACTAGAAATATTGTAAATATTTAGAGAGAAAAGTGTCAAAAACTGTTAGAGGTCAACAGTGTCAAAATTCATCTTAATGTTGGGCTGTTTACTTAAGATCTATGAAACAATGTGGCAGGAAAGAATCAATGATGCATTGAAAGCTTGAGGGATCCCAGTAAGGAAGCAGTTCCTGGCTTGCTTCTTTTACCATTATGAGGAGGTACTATGAGATAAATGCCCTGGCAAGGATCATTGCGATAGATTTGCTTTCCAATGACCTAAGATAGTTTAGTGAATAAACACTACATCTACAAAATGTACATCATTCAAATAATAAATATCTGCAGGCTTTTCACCAGAGTCATATGTACCTGTGCAGCATTTTATGCAATTTATTGTAAATTCATCAATTAAAATAGATTTGTACACTATACCCCAACTGAGAAATGCTTTCTGGTGTAATGAATTTAAAACACATATCCTCTCAGCTCTTGTCACATGACTAAGTGTGATGGTTTGAATGAAAATGTCCCCCATAGGCTCCAAGCATTTGGACATTTTGTCCCAAGATGGTGCCACTGTTTTGGGAGGTCTTAGAAGATGTGGCTATCCTGGAGGAAGCGCATCACTTGGGGTGGGTTTGGAGAGTTTCTAAGCCTTGCTGGATCTCTAGTTGCTCTCTTGCTTCCTATGCCTACTTGATGATGTGAGAGCTTAACTTCTGCTGCTCCTGCTCCAGCCACCCCCAGCCACCATGCCTCCCTGGCATGACAAATTATAATGCCCCTGGAACCATAAGCTCAAATAAACTCTTCCTTTTATAAGTTGTTTTGGTCGGTGTTTCTATCACAGCAACAGAAAAGTGACTAATATACTAAGCAATACTGATTTTTTGTTAAAAGTCTTTAGAAAAATGATGGGAGGATGCTGCTGTTCCAAGAAATATTGCCCATTAAGGATCTTTCTCTGCTTCCAAGTATATCATTAATAGTTCCAATCATCCTGGAGTCACGGTGGTTCAACAGACAGTAATTTACAAAATGAAAAATTAGGCTTCAATTACTTTTCTGTAAATTTTTAATAAAATGTATGTATAACATAGTTTTGATTATTTAAAATAGGGAAAGCATTTTAAAGACAGATTCATAGTTATATAAAAGTATAGAATTTAGAAGGTCTATGTGTGAGCTTTTTAAAACTGCTGATGTTCTGAGACTTAAAAGGCCAATTCATTAGAGTATCTTATAAAAGTTCCATTCAAGTGCACCTTTTAATTTAATAACCACTTTTTCAACATTCATGCCTAAGATGAAAGCAAAGTAAGGGATCCTTCTAGATGGAATAAATATTATCATCCTTGAAACAGTTTCTTGTCCTTTAAATAGCAGTGTGGGAGCAGAAGAAGAAATGACAGAAAGGCCTGGCTAATCTTAGCTATTAATGAACTTACATAAAAATTTGTTGTTTATATGTTTGGGGTACCCAGGCAGGCAGAAGCCTGTTCATCTGGCCCTCTGGCCACATAGCTCAGGGTACAGGGGACTGCTGACTGGTTCAAGGTGGTTGTGAATACTCCACTGTGCCATGCCCTGGTGCATCTCTCTTGCCAGGGTCTAGACCTCCACCATGGTCAGCTAGCTATCATCATCATTCAGGTGACAAAAGGACTTGGTAATTAAAAAAGAAAATAGCTGAAGAGCCAAGATGCCAGTGGTGGTGGCTCTCACAAAGTACAACTCTGGGTAAGATGTCTCATCACTGGCACCCCCTGGCCTGGGAAGAAGATGTGACGGCTGCAGTTACCAAAAAAAGCCAACTGGAACCTTGATCATGAAAACAACAGCAGCAACAAGATATGTGATCCATCTGTCTCCTCAACTGAAAGCAAAAAGCAGTTTTCTCCAGTATCAATTTGTCCCTCAAGTGAGAAATTCAAGCCAGCAAGTAATTGTTGCCTGTGTTGTTGTACAGAAGCCAAAATGCTCTTTCTTAAACACAAGTATAATTGTGTTAACAGAACAATGAAGACAGAAAATAATAGGAATAATTGAAATAGTGGCCCCCTCTCATGAGCCTGGAACTGTTTTCATCTCCTGTGAACCTGAACCTGGGGTCACTTCTCATGAACTTGGAGCTGTGTTCCCATTGTGTGACTCTGGAATTATGGTTGTCTCTCATGAGCCTGGAGCTATGGTCCCCTTACATCAATCTGAAACTGTGGTGTCTCCCATGATCCTAGAGCTTGGTACCCCTCTCCTGAGTTGGACCTGTGCCAGCCTCCTGTGAACCAGAGCTGCAATAGCCGCTCACTGTGAGCCTGGGACTGTCATTACTGCCTGAGAATCTGGATCTGTGATCTCATCCTGTGAGCCTATACTGGGGGTCCCCTCCTGGGACTCTGAAGCAGGGACCATTCCTTTGAGCTGGAGCTGTAGTCCCCTCCTGCCATCCTGGAACTGTGGTCCCCTCCCATGAACCTAGAGTGGAGATTCCCTCCTGTGAGCTGTGATCCTCTCCAGTGAGCCAGAGTTGTGCCCTTCTGTGAGATGGAGCTGTGGCCCCATCTCATGAATTTGAAACTAAGGTTCCCTCCTGTGAGCTAGAGCTGTGGTCCACTCCAGTGAGCTGGAACTATGATCCTCTCCCATGAACCTGGAATGGTGGTCCCCTCTGGTGAACTGGAGCAGTGGTCCACTCTTGTGAGCTATAGCTGCAGTCCCCTCTTGTGAGTTGGAGTTATGGTTCCCTCTCGTGAGCTGGAGCTGCGGCCCCTTCCTGTGAGCCTGAGCTGTGGTCCCCTCCTATGAACCTGGAGCTCTGATCCCCTCAGATGAGCCTGAAGCTTTGGACCCCTAAGGTGAGTCATGGTTCCACATCCCTCTGGTGGTAAGCTGAAGGTGGAGCAGAGTAGGGCATGGAGGACTTCCTGATGTTGGGCAGCAGTTTCAGTGTTCTGTGAGTGACTATATTTCCCACAGTTCCCTCCCCTGAGGTCCCAGGTTGTGCAAGGTAGAGACTGCCTCTGATTCTAGGGATGGGGAGGCATCTGTTATTTGCAGATTCTGGTCTTGGGATGACTGATTCTCTGGAACAGACCTCCCGCCTCCCTGAGGCCCAGCTGTGGTCCTCACTCAACACATGGTCCTGGGAATCATATTGGACCTTTCACATCATCAGGCACAAGAGTTTTTCCATTATTTTTCTATTAATCCTCTACTTGCCCAGTATGCCTTCACCTATGTCTCAAGTGAACTTCTAGAAAAAAAAAATCAGTCTGGGAAGTAAAAAAAAATAGTACTGTAATAACTAAACTGATACAATTCTCAAACTAAAAAATAAGTTAAGGTACTGCTATGTTGTTTGAATATTGTTACTGACAAAACTTTACTACCAAGCTTCATCAATAATGTGAAGTTTGTCATTGTTCTTATAATGTGAGTTTGCCATTCATTCCCTTTCCAAATTCTCCACCTATACAAAGTCTTTCAGTGCAACCATGTTAACCTCTTAAAGCAATGCTAATAAAATATTTTTTAAAAAAATTGTTATTTGTGGTATGTACTAACACATTTAAACAACCATGTTTTAATTCAGTTCTGGTTGGCTGAGGTGTTTATGGTTGAAATGTAAATGTCTGTGGTGAATGAAAGCATCTTATTTCTGTATGTATCTGTGTGCATTGCATGTATTTATGTATGTTTCTGTGTATGAGTGTATGTGTGTATATGTATCTATATCTGTTTGTATTTTGTGTATGTGTATATTTGCGTATGTATTTGTATTTGTAGATGAGTGTATGTGTGTGTGATGCATGCATGTGTGCATGTCAGGAAGGTAAGTTTTTATCTCTTTTCAGTTGGTAAGCCTCATTGCTCATAATCAGTATAAAATGCTAATTTAATATAAATGAAATTGAAAATAATATTTTCGTTGGTAGAATCTGTTGGCTATATGTTTTCCCCAGTTTTCTGGAATTCAAATAGCAAACAAATACACAGAAAATACAACTAAAACTGTACCACAAATAGGGTAGTAACCATTCAAGAAGAATTACATAATTTCAAAACTTCATGATTTATAAAATTAAAGCCCATTTTGAAATCATAAACTTTTCTAACTTTAATGCAAATAATTTTAATCTGTTAACTACATGATAATGCCAACATGTCCAAGAGTTCACATTTTGCTTGCTTTTAGCACACTTACTATACAAATTTGATCATGTTTAGTTTTTTGGGGACTGATCGATGCATTTTGGGGGTCAGTTCTTACCGTAATAGCAGGTCCAGCAAAAGCCAAGCTAAGTAACATGAGGAATGGGATGGCCTCCTGTGTTGGCTCAATGTATGGCATGCTAAGACTCCGGTCATAGCAGCTGAATCCAGAGTGCACAGGTTTGAAGACATCTGTGAGTTCAAGGAAGTAGAGGCTAACCACCGACGATGCCAGTATAGGCAACTGAGGGCAAAAGACACAGGAGACAATTTATTTGTGTATACAGGACAAACTGGAATCAGCACATCTTGAAGTTGGAAACAGGTGGATGTTTTCCTGTCTCACATCACTGCTCTGTGGGCCAGAGGAAAATTCATTCATTCAGTGCTATCGTTGGGCTTTCACAGAGCATCTCCAGTTCATCTGCCTGCCCAGCCTGCCAGCAGCCTGTTACCCTCACCTGGTGTCCCCTCTTAGCGCTTTGCCTATCAATCCATTCATTCCTTTTTCCACTAAAATCACAAGGAGTCTTCTGGAAAGATTTCGGTTCATCTCGCTATACACCTTAAGCATTCTGATGGTTCCCATTCTTACCTAAACACAATTCAAATGCTATTCCATGGAAGGGAAGTTTCAGCAAGATTGGGTTCTTTTTGCAGGCTTGTGCTATGATTCCATCGCTCCTGACCTCCCTGCTAATTACAATCAGACCATTCTCCATGCTGGTTCTATGGGAGTCAAATTCATTCCTGACAGGTTCCTTTGCATTTGTGGTTCTTCCTTTCCTAGCCTTTCCATAGCTCTTTGCATAAAGGACATTTCCATCATTTAATGATATCGACTAGCTACTCTCTAGCTAGGGTAGCCATTGATCCATCATCCACCTTATCATTTTGCTAGATTTTCTCCATACCACTCACTAACTGAAATTACTTTGTAAATTAACATGTACTTACTTTTTTTCATCTTCTATAATTTCTCACTAAAAGAAACACCTAATGAAGTGAGAATCTGTCAATATTATTTATTGTGAGTTGCCATACAATAGAATTGTTATTAGTACATGGCAGACTTTCAATACATCATTTAGCAATTTAATGACCAATAGCTACTTGTCAATAAATGACTAACTTAATAAATGCACAAACCTTAACTTATTATAATAACTAGACTGGAGTTCCCAGACTTAGCAAATAAAAACTCAAGTTAACTAGTAAAATAAGAATTTCAAATAAACAATGAATAATTTTTAGTATAACAATCTCTCATACACTATTTGGGAAAGACTTATGTCAAGAATTATTGTTTATCTGAAATTCTAATTTTACTAGCTATTTGTCTGACTAACCTTAAACTAAGCATAGTATACTTTTCTAGACTTTCTGTAGAATTTGTGAACTTATTCTCTTATTCGACTAAGAATGCTCCTGGTACTCCATGGGTGCTATCTCTTATACAGAGAATAAGACACTGGCTTGGCAATCAAGGGGAATAAGCTTAGAGACTTGCTCTCAGTTAGCAAGAAAATATTGTGAATGCTTTGCCTAATTAATATTAGGCCTTTCAGAACCTGACAATACAGGCTTATGTTTTGTTTTTTAAATTTTTAGGTTGGGGCTGGAGCAATGGCTTAGTTGGTGAGCTGCTTGTTGGATAAACAGAGGACCCGAGTTCAATCCCCAGCACCTATGTAGCAAGCTGGGCAAGATGCACCTGTGATACCAGAGCTTGGGAGGTGGAGATGGGAGAATTCCTGAAACTCATTGTCCAGTCAGTCTAGCAGAATTAGTCAGCTCCAGGTTCAGTGAGAGGCATTGTCTCAAAAATAAGATGGAAAGTGATTGAGGAAGACATCCAGTGTCAACCTCTCACCTCTGTCACACCCCCCATACATGTGGCAGTTGTATCTGCTCCCCCCAAATTGTTTAGTTCAAAGCTTTGTTACCTGTGGAAGACAGAATATTTACTTAACCAAACAGGAAAGATTTTTGCTAAAAATATCAACCGCTAATGAATTGTTTACTTATTTAAAAATATAAATTTTCAAGATAGAATTATTCTTTCTCTTCTTGAGGTTTTTTTTTGTAATGACATGGTCATTATGTTTGGAAAAGTTAGTCATAATTGATAATTAATCTTTGTTTTTCTGATGGCCTATTTCCACAAAAAAATTGCGTGGAAATACTTATATTTTCTCTTATCTATTGCCATCTGATCACTCTAAATTCCTATTTTTTTCTCCCCACTCCTCCCTCTCCTGTCATATAGGAATAGTAGTTTTCAGTCTTGACCAATAAAACAGCTCTTCATGGTAAGTGTGTGAGTGAAATTTCCATTTCAATTTACATAAATATATTATAATTTTAATTAAGTAAATAAATCATATGGAGCTTAATACATGCCAGATAATTTTCTATTTTAGGAATTAATCGGTTCATTTATTGTAACTCGCTCAATTTAAATCTCCCATAACAGAAGATAGGCCCTATCATCGTCTTCATGTACAGTGATGCACACTCATTGGTAGTAGGTAGCAGAGCTAGGTTTTGAACCACTGAATTCTCATTCCAGAGTCTTATGTCTTATGTATTATTCGAGCTTCTTTTCAAAACAACAAAAAGGAATAAAGGGTTAAGATGATGATGACCAACTTAAAGGATTATAGCTTAGCTTAAAGATTTACTTTCTTTAAATTCTTAGCTAAAAATATGCAGCACTTAGCATAAACAGATGTCTTCTTAAATGTGTGATTTCTACAAATTTGGAGAGGTTTTCCCTATTTATTCGAATGCCAAATAATTCACCCTTATTTATTATTATTATTGTTATTATTTTATGTGTATGAGTGCATTACCTGCATGTATTTAAGTGAACTGTATTGTGCAATGCCCAAGGAGGACAGAGAGGGTGTTGAATCCCCTGGAACTGGAGTTATGGACAGTTGCTAGCTGCCATGTGGGTGCTGGGATTCAAACCTAGGTCTTTTGTAAGAATAGCCAGTGGTCTTAATTGCTGAGCCGTCTCTCCAACTCATTTTTATTTATTTTTAAAATTATTTGTTTTTATTTTATGTGTATGCATGTTTTGCCTGCATGTATGTAAAGACCTCTAACCTGCAATGCCCTTGGAGGACAGGAGAAGACATCATATGTCCTGGAACAGGAGTCACAAAGGGTTGTTTCTTGTGTATTTTACTAGTGGAGAGTGAAATTTGGGATTTTCAATGTCCTTCAGATAACATTTCGATCATCTCATTTTCAAATGCTCATATGCCAGGAAAATGAATTTGATCTCTCCTGAAGAAAGGTGAGCAAAATGTTATCAACATAACCAATTTGAAAAAAAAAAAGGAAATCTTCTCGAGTAGAGACATAACCAGCCTTGGAGTTTTATGGATAAAATTACTTTAGAATTAGAACATGTATAACTGTGTTAATGAAGATATAGCCAAAGAATGAAAGTGTTATTCCATGTCTCTCTCTTTCTCTCTCTCTCTCTCTCTCTCTCTCTCTCTCTCTCTCTGTGTATGTGTGTGTGTGTGTACATGTGCAAATGGGGATGAACATTTAGAACATCACAACTGTAGTAAAAGCCACAGAATCAGATAACTTTTGAGGCATGAGTGGTTCTAGTACCTGTTCTTTCTTTCTCCACCTACCAGTGGTGACTTCGGGATTGTTTTTCTTTTCTTTTTAAAAATATTTTATGTTGTATGCATATATTGCCTGCATGTATGTAACTGCACCCGTGTCATGCAATGCTCATGAAGGACAGACGAGGGTGCTGGATCCCCTGGAACTGGAGTTACAGACAATTGTTAGCCACCATGTGGGTGCTGGGTTTCGAACCTGGGTCCTTTGCAAGAACAGTCGGTGTTCTTAATCTCTGAGCCATCTCTACAGCCAGGGATTGCTTTTCTTAAATTGCAGTTTTCATATGTATCAAGTAGCTACACTGAGAGTTCCCACCACCACTGATTGGTTGGCAAGATGAAATGAGGTTTTGATAACAAAATCAGACCATATCTGGAATGAAGAATAGTTTATTAGCTCCCTCCTCCCATCCATGGCTTTGTTGTGGATTCAGTCATTTCTGATTTAGAAAATATCAGGTGATAAGCAGGGTGTGGTGGTGCATACTTTTGATCTCAGCACTTCGGAGGCAGAGAGTGGCAAATCTCTGTGAAACTTAGGCCAGCCTGGTCTCCATACTGAGTTCCAGGCCAGTTGAGGTTACAGGTAGACCCTGTCTCAAACAAAACAAAACAAAACAAAACAAAACAAAACAAAACAAAACAAAACCCACCTAAATAACAGCAAAATCGCAATCAATAAAATGAATATAAATAAAACAAAATAGAAAATATCAAGTGGTAAATTACAGAAATAATGTAAAAATTTTCAACAAATTTTAGTATAGTATACTATAATTGCCCAATTTTATTGGTAGCATTGCTTATTTCTCCCTGTGCCTAATTTATAAACTAAACCCCACCATGCACATGTAGTACATACAGGGTTTGTTGCTATAAACAGCTTCAGGCATTCTCAGAACTTCCTGGAATGATCCTCTACAGATGAGAGAAGATTGCTGAGATAATGTATGAGAAATTGCTAATGTTAGTAATATAGCTCTCAACCGTGGCCTTTCTCATAAGGCTGTACTCCAAAATCATATTTAAGGTAATTTTCTCACTCTTAATTCCCTAACACTTCTTTTCTGGAAAATGTTTAAGCATTGGCCCCTATTATCTGCTATAAATTAGCACAGATGTTTGTTGTGCTTCCCAAGTTAAAATCTCCTTCAGGCAGAGGTCTAATATTACTTTCTGAATTGCCACTAATTTTCACTTATATCATAGTGACCTCCAAATATATGTTAATAGAGTCAACCTCACAAATAAGTTAACATATGAATTAAAATCATTTTTGTCCCTAATATTTGGATATCTTTGCCCTTTCTTACATTAGCCAATTTTTGCAGCTATGTAATTTTATCCATGTATTAATATCTTCTTGTCTCTTATAAAATTATGTTTTAATACCTTTATTTGTTTTCAAAATAGAATCATTTTCTTCTCCCTTGATGTTTATATCTCCAATTTTAAAGTCTTAGATTTTTTACAACAATTTTTTTATAATCCAAGTACATTGAATTAAATCACAGTTTATTTCTACCATACTTGTCTTCAAAAGTATCTTCTCATCTTTTAAAAACAATTTTCTTTTAGTATTTTTATTTTA